TCACCACCATATCAGTGTGCAATTCTGTTAAAAACGTCAAGTCACATTGATCTTTTTCTCGAAGTTTTATGACAGCCTTTTCACATGAGAATGTCTGGTAAAGAAGATGGGAAAAGCACTGAGTTGCGATTTTGTAAAAATGCTGAGTTTACTACTTTGTGGAATGAGTGTGAGTGGAGCTGCGTACGGCTGCCCCACTGGGCTCTGCCCGGTTCCCAGGGACCCCACCTACAGAGCACACAGGAGGGTGCTGCCTGCAACAGGACTGTGCGGTGGCCCTGACTGGACGGTGGACTGACGGGCAAAAATGGTTGAACCTGTTTCAGAAACTAGGACATGCTTGGACAAAATGGAGGGGGCGTGTCACAGAGACCCACAAGCCAGCTTGCACCCACATGGCTGAATGTGGGGCCATTCCAGCATCAGAATAAATCAAAACAGGAATGTATGCTACCCCAGTGAATGGAGAAACCCTGACGCCATGTTGGTAATGATAACTGAATATATAAATGCAGAAGAAGAAAAAGCTCTTCCTAACAGGAGAATAACAGCTAACACATGTGAGAAGGGATGGTGGGGTTAAGTGAGAAACACACCGTTTTCCCACCTTCACGGTGAAAACGGGATCAGACAGGAGACATGAACAGCTGCCCCAGGCGTGAGGAGGAGGAGCTGGAGAAGGAACAGGATGCACGCTTACAGAATCTCTAAGTGTTTCCTTCAAATGTTCCAGGAATCACAAAGTGAACGGGATTAATACAGCAGAGAAATCAGGCAACATCTTAACCAAGTGATCAAATGAAGGTCGCCAGGAAGGGGCAAAGGGACATCCACACTTCAGATGTGACGGTCTGAGAAGGAGACCTCACGCACACAGCAATCCAACCAAAATACGGAACCTCGATCTATCACCAGGGGCCTCGCAAGTCCACATGAGGGGCTGTTCTATCCACGCCCGCCTTTGCCTGTGTTCCTCAAACACGTCATGCAACAAAAGGAAGGCTGTTCCATTGAAGGGGCCTGAAGGGACGCGACAGGGAAGGACAGCAAGTGGCCCCAGACTGGATGCTGACCTGGAGGGAAGAAGGCAATCACGGTCATTTGGGGGGCATCTGACAAAACTGGCGCACGGACTGTAGATGAAAGTATTAAATGTCCTGAATCTGCTAATAGCACTGTGGTTACATAAGAGAATATCCTTGTTCTTAGGAAATACACAGTGAAGTATTAGGGGGTGTAGGCTGACTACTCTCAAATGAGTCAGAAAAAATAAATGTGTGTGTGTGTGGAAAGAGAGAAAGAGGGGGAGGACAGGAGGAAAAGAATAAGACAAACACGAAACAATGATGTTAAAAATGTGTAAAACTAGGTAAAAGGTCTAAGGGAATATACTCTACTATTGCAACCTCAAAATAAAGAGTTTAACAAAAGCAACAGCAGCCAAGACGACTTTGAGGGGTATCAGCGTTCAGCTTGCTCTAATGAGCAGAAAAGTAATTCAACTTGTAATCAGTGCAAAACAGAGGTGCCCCTCTGGAATCATTCTGCTGCTGTCCTCTTCACAGTCATCGCCAGGAGCACTTCCGGAGCCCTTACTCAGTGATAACTGCTCCGAGAGGGGTTCTACTTGCGTGACCCCTTTTAGTCTTCACAACTCCCCCAGGAGAAAGGTCCTGGGGTTACCCCCACTTTATAGAGGAGGAAACCAAGGTTTACAGAAGTTTAGCAACTTGCCCAAAGTAATACAGGGAGTAAATGGCAGAACCAGAAACCCAACGAGGTTGATTACAAAGCTGGTGGGATTTATTGCTTTGTTAAACTTAATTTTTAATTATTTCTTAGTTTTCCCCAAAGAAAGAGAGATGAAGCACAACCTAGATGAAATTTTGGCAAATTAGTAAAATAATTTTAATGACAGCACTAAATTAACCAGAGAGACATCTATCTATCTATCTATATAAAAGCCTAAGCAACCGAACAACTGAATAACTGGTCGACCGGTCGCTATGATGTGCACTGACCACCAGGGGGCAGACGCCCAACGTAGGAGCTGCCCCCTGGTGGTCAGTGTGTTCCCATAGTGAGAGTGCCGCTCAGCTGACTGACCCATCCTGGTAGCCCACCAGCTTGGCGGCAGTCACTCCCTCCCTCAGTAGTCCTACAGGTCCAATCTCCGGAGAACGGGCCAGGCACCAACGGACCAGTGCCTCCAGCCTCCTGGAAGTTGGCCTCGGTCATCACCATCACTTCCCCTCCCTAGATGCTCTGCAAGGAAGAAATGATATAAAAGCGGCAGCCAGGTGGCTCCCGACAACTGACGCAAATGTCAGCGAGATGGATCCAGATCCCGGGCTGGCAAGGGCGTCCCACTGCCCGCCAGGAGGGCCGATTGTGGCCTGGCTCCCCACCCTGCTCTGGGGACCCCACCTGTGCATGAATTCGTGCACTGGGCCTCTAGTAAGTGATATTTCTGGTCTCCATAATTTACTTTACACTCTCTTTCTTCAAAGGGCTGACTTGGTCATTCACAAATTCTTTGAAAAAATATACCTGAGTATGTCTTTTGAAACGATCTTATCAAACGTCTCCTAAACCATATGGTCCTTGCTATGGCATGCCTGTTAGTGTCCCCCTAAAATGAGATGTTGACGCCCCCATCCCCAACGTGATGGCATTTGGAGGTGGAGCCTTTGGAGTGTTACTAGATCCTAGGCTGGAACCCTCACAAGTGGGATTAGTGCCCTTCGAAGAGAGACGTAAGAGAAAGGATCAGTCTCTCTCCACCACACGAGGACACAGCGAGAAAATGACCGTCTGCAGGCCAGAAACTGGGCTTTCCAGATGTGCCGGTGCCTTGATCTTGGGCTTCCCAGACTCCAGAACCGAGAGAAAAACATTCCTGTTGTTTCTAGTCCATCCTGTCTATGGTATGTTGTTATCGGAGTCTGAACTAAGACAGTCTTGTTTCAAGTTTCTCTTCCTGATTAAAAATGTTTTCTCTCCTTTTCAGGTAAAGTGATGGAGCTTATGCTCATGTTTCCTTTTAGTCTCGACACTTCAATTTTACTTAAAAAAATGTATCACTCGCAACACACTGCCTGCTTAGTCCCATCGTCCTCCTCACAGATGAGGAGTACGCGGCTACACATGCCATCTCTTTCTTCCCAGTGGAAGCTGAAGGTCCGTTGATTTTTTAAACAAACGTTCATAACAGTACTACATTTGCAAATACTTGCAGGTGTTCGGGGCAATCTTACCATCTGACAGAGCGAATGCCCACTCCAGAAAAGGCAGCCCTGCCCATGGCTGCATAATTTAACCGCAGAAGGAGCTTTTAAAATCCCGATGCCCAGCCCACACTCGAGACCAAAGAAACCAGACCCGCTGGAGATGGGGCCTAGGCCTCGGGCATTCTAAGCTCCCCTGACGGTTCCAGTGGGCGGCCTAGTTTGAGATGCTGGATCGAGCGCCTGGAGCCGTAAAGAATCACATCTTTTGTGTACACCGCCAACGGATTCACAGAGCTTTTGGAATTGGTCTCATTAGGAAGGTATAGTCCAGCTGGTGAGTGGTGACAGTAGGGAACAGCAGGGAACAGTAACTGGGCGAGACTGAGACGTGTGCCACATGAAGGGGACACACAGTGAGCACATCAGGAGGCCATGGGGACAGTAGGTGTCATCGGCACCCTCCGGCAACAAGTCCTGGCGGGTGACAGCCCGGAGCCTCTGAACACATTTGCAGAAACGATCGAATGAAACTTGCCTTTGGGAGAAAAACGAAAACTCTGTCTACTAAGAACAAAAAACCACACAACCGATGCGGTAAAACTGTATGCTGATGGAGCATAATTTGATGTCTTCCTTTTTAGTTTTCCACAAAAGACAGGACCCACACCATGGAGCCTGCTAGACTAGAACCCGCATGGGTCTCACCAGCCGGGGACCCACTCGCGGAGGGACGGCAGCCTGAGCGGCAGGCTCTTGGCCCCTCTGGCCTGGTCCCAACCTCACAGTAGCAGTGCCCCCGCACCTGAGCCTGACTCCTTTTTCTCAAAAGGCGACTCCTGTGGCTAAGAAATATAATCCAGAGGACAAGATTCCAGGCCACAGAAATGCTTTCTCACAGTTTTTTCTTTGGAATAAGGACTTTTGAGAAGCTGAATGATTCCTAGGCCATTCTGGCAATTAAAGATTTCTAGGGATACAAAAGGGGACCACAGCATTCATTCATTCATTCAATAAGTACTTATTGAACACGTACCACTCGCCGCTCTTCTAGGCCTTGGGAAGAAACACAGCAGGGCTTTCTCCAAAGGGAACACTCCCTGGGACTGAGCGACTTCACTCAACAACGTCACACAGCCTAAGGCTACACGACTGACAGCTAACTGACTTAAGGGTCCTGCTACAGACCTTAAAAAACACGAATAGCCAAAAAACAAAACAAAACCAAGAAAGGAAAGGAAAGGAAAGTCAAGGTCCTTTATATAAGTAACTGTATGTACCAGAGGACTTACAGAGTAACAAAAGTCTTTTTTAAAAACTGCATTTATGTAAGCATATTCAGGCCACTAGATGTAGCCTAAGCTCCAAACATACCAGCACAACCACGTGTTCAATGGCCGATCCAACAGCCACAAGAAAGCGCTTGCTGCTTCTTCTCCGATGTCACATACCCTCTAGTTCAGCGGTTCTCAACCTGTGGTCGCGACCCCTTTGGCGGTAATGACCCTTTCACAGGGGTCGCTTAAGACCATCCTGCATATCAGATATTTACATGACGATTCATCACAGTAGCAACATGACAGTGACGAAGTAGCAACGAAAGTAATTTTATGGTTGGGTCACAACATGAGGAACTGTACTGAAAGGGCCAGAAGGTTGAGAACCACTGCTCTAGTTTCTAGACAATTCCCGTTTTCTCGCCGTGGAGAAAAGTTAGCATGAGCATATTGCAGGCTCCTTCCTTCCCTCTTCCTGCCCGGCGCGGAGTCTTACCCGCGTAGTGCACCGGGATCTCTATCTTTGGCCCAATGACGTAGTGCCCCTCCTCCAGGCTGTGGGCCGTGATGGTGGTCCACTGGCGGCAGGAGTGGATCAGCAGGTAGTCGTTCTCCCGCAGCCCTTCGATGCATTCTCCTAGAAGACAGAATCCCACACAAGAAACCTGGAATTAGCAGGGGCTTACTCCGTCCTCTGCAATGAAATGCCATTCGTTAGAACTTCACTAGTGCACAAGTTGACAGTTCATCCCCAGAGAAGAAAACGTTCACTTAAGAATTAGCAATAAAAAAAGCTTTCCAAGTGGCTCAGTGGTCGAGCGTGACCTATGAACCAGGAGGCCATGGTTCAATTCCCGGTCAGGGCACCTGCCTGGGTTGCGCGGGCTGGATCCCCAGAGTGGGGCGTGCAGGAGGCAGCCGATCAATGATTCTCTCTCATCATTGATGTTTTGATCGATACCTCTCCCTTCCTCTCTGAAATCAATATATATATATATAGCATTCCATGCCATGTTGATAATGTCACTCAAGATTCCACAAAAATGTTTCTAAATTATTTACAAAGAGATCTTCACATGCCTCATTTTATCTAAATAATTATATTCCAACTATTATAAAACAAAGATGAAGTGCTTATGTTAGGTAATACCTGGATGCTGTGCATCTATTATGCCATGTAATACAGTAATGATGAGGGAGGTACGATCCCTTCCTGGCGGGTGGGGAAGAACTCAGTGCTCAGGTGGTAAGTGACAGGTCTAAGCCACAGGTGGGGGAAGTGGACAAGAGCAGACTCGGGCCTGGGCAGACTGATTCCGAAGCTTCTGCTCTTACACACGACAGGACACGGCTGCCAACAGGAAGGACTAGCCTGTCTGTCTCTCTGCCGAAACACCACTTGAAAATACAAGCCTAGTTCTCCTTTTCAATTGGGTATGCTTGCCAGTCCTCTCTGGCCTCCTACCGAACATCCCAATCGATTAAAAACAGGGAAGTCTGTAGCATACACATAACATGATTTTTCATCTTAATAATTCTGATGAACCCTTTTAGCCTTTGAACCAATGACAGACTATTTCAAAAGAGAAATCCGCTCCCTGAAATGGAAAAGTTAGGTTTCTAGACGCAGGAATGATCCCATGAAGCCCGCTTAGTAATTTTCAATGCTCGAAAAAAATAGCTGAAAAGGCGAATTCTTTTATACAGGAAACCACCAGCGTGCCTTATTTTTGAGGTTATTACTATATTTCAATAATGAAAAGTTATTGGTGATTTAAGTGTATGTTTCGAAATGGCACTTATCAATCCCTCAAAAGTCCTTAAAAGTTGCAGCAATTTTTCAATTAAGTAGAGAAAGCTGTAACGATCAACTTGGTTATCACAACCATAAGCAGTCAAATTTGTTCCCAAATTAATAAGGCCATAATTTTTAATACAGTCTTACTGCAAGAATATGCTACCTTTGTTGCTGAAAAGGCAAAGAGTTAAAGCTTTTAGGGGAGGCGTGCTGAAAGTGGAGGTACCTGAGCAGGAGGGGGAGGGTCCCATTGTGGGGGGCATATTTCCAAACCAGACTCCCCTGCCCCTCACTCTTTGGGAGACCAGGCTCATAAAGACACCGTCTGGGAAGGCCAGTGGTACTCGGCAGCCCTCGGCATCTCTTGAGCATATGAGGGCAGGAACGAAAGCTCTAGAAGCACTGCCCATAATATAGCCCCCTCAGTAGTCCCCCTCCCAAGGGCAGAGGGGAGGGCACACACAGGGAGGGCAGTTGGGAGTTACAGACACGGGCTTCAGAGCCCGGCATTCCTGGTCTAGCCAGGTTCTGCACCAGCGCTGTGTGGTCCTGGGCAGGCACCTCTCTTCTCCCAGGAGAAGGGACAACAGGCCCTGCTTCCCAGAGGCTTAAAGATGCCTGGGGACAGCCAGGGACCCTGGGGAGCACCACTCTGTCATGGGATGCTAGGTGACTAGGACACATCAGCTATCGATTTTATTTCTTGTGGGATTTTCCTCCCCGAAGGTTGTCCTGTTTATAAACACTGTAATTGAGGTCAGGTCATCCTTTTACAGGCGAGGAAAGGATTTTCCGAGCAGTCAAGAAACTTGCCTAGAGCGGCACAGCCAAGGGCAGAAACTGACTTCAGGGTCTCTCTCTCTCTCTCTCTCCACATCTCTCTCCTGCTCGTCCAACACCACACTGTTGGTCGCCTTGAAAACCACCAACAATCCAAGAAACAGGGAACACTGGCCTTCGGTTCCCTCAGCCAGCATGGCAAGCACCGTTCCAACGCTGGGGACACACGTCGGAAAACAAGACCAAGGCCCCTGCCCTAGGACGCCCACTATCCCACAGGAAGGAGACAGTACCGTCAACGAGAATGCTGGGATTATGGGTCAATTAGGGAGTGAGAGGGGCTGCGGGTAAAGGGTGAGAGGATCAGGAGAAAGAAGAGCAATTCACAAGTTTGTCATCTTACCCAGCAAACATTTGTCTACTTATTTTGCCTTTAAAAAGCAGCTTTGAGATATCATAATAGACAAAGAAGGGGAGATACTTAATGTGTACATTCTGATGAGCCACAAACACTTACTGAGTCTCTTTTATGCACAAAGCAATGGAGGAGTGGGCCAGATATAACGACTGGGGGCCTGCATTCAAGAAATCAACATTCTCACTGGTGAGATGCATCCCTGTGTAATTTCATGAAAGGCAGGGCATGATGAGTGCTATGTAGAGGAAGAGGAAATCAGGAGTGGAGATGGGACTTTAGCAGAGACGATCAAGGACATGTTCACAGGAATGCAAAGCATTGGGGCTGGTCCTCTGATGGATGAGAGGGTCTTCGAGGAGAGGAAGGCAACAGGAGCCACTGGAGCGTGTTGGATACGAGAACCACGTCAGGAAAATTCATCTGGTGGTGCTGGGAAAGATGAGTGGGAGAAAGGAGAAACCACAGTGCCATTCCGGGGAAAAAGGAAAATGCCATTTTCTGCAACTAAACTGTTACATCGTAAAAACTGTTTTAATTTTATTCCACAGTGGGCTCTGAAGAGGCAGCGAAGGCACAATTGCAGTCAAGTTAATCGAAATGAAAATGTAATGTTAAATCCTACTGCTAGCTGATGCTATCAACGCTACCAAGAGGATTCAGAATGATCTTCGAAGCCATAAAGTAGTAAGAAACCAGCCCTATTTTTGAGCTTGTGCTTTTTTAATTTCTTTAAACAACTGAACCATGTGCCTGCTTTAGGCAAAAAAAAGTTTCACAAAAATTGTCTAGAAATAAAACTTAATATAATCGCTTAAAATATCCCAGGGGAGGCCACTAATAGAGAAATTACATATGAATTCATAAAGTAAACAATTTTTGTGATATAATTAGCCCGTTGCTTAACTGCTATGTATAACATACTAAACTTATATATTTAGCTTAATGATGTAGCATTAGTAGGTCTAAAAGAATTATGTGTTAAACTAGAGGCCCAGTGCACAAATTCATGCACAGGGCCGGGGGGGGGGGGGGGGTGGTCTCCTCAGGGTGGCCTGCAGGGATGCGGCCAAAACCCACAGTCCGACGTCCCTGCAGCTCCTACATGCTGCTCCCGCTTATCCTGGCCCCACTGCGCCTGCCCCGGGCTTGTGCCCATCTATCCTGATCGGGAGAGGCTGGCACTGCTGTAGCAGCACTCACCAGGCATGAGCCCTGTGTCTGGTGTCCTCCCGAGAGGAGTGGCCTGCGGGATCGGGCCGAAACCAGCTCTCTGACATCCCCCAGAGGGGTCCTGGATTGTGAGGGCACAGGCCAGGCCAAGGGACCCCACCGGTGGACAATTGGGCTGGGGAGGAACTGCGTGGAAGGGCTCCTGGGCGTGTCCGACCCTGTCTCGCCCAGTCCTGATCCACCAATTGGGGGCTGGCTGATTGGGGAGGGACACGGGAGGTTGGCCAGCCAGGGAGAGACTGCAGCAGGGCTCCAGGGCGTGTCTGGCCCATCTTGCTCAGTCCCGAAGAGGCCGGACCCCAGCAGCAAGCTAATTTACCAGTCAGAGCGTCTGCCCCCTTGTGGTCCGTGCATGTCATAGTGACTGAATGACCGGTCGACTGTCTACCCCGATGGTCAGTGCACATCACAGTGAGCGGTTGAGCGGCCTTAGCTTATCATTAGCATATTATGTTTTGATTGGTTGAACAGTCAACTTGGTCACCAGACGACCAGACACTTAGCATATTAGGCTTTTATTATATAGGACTAGAGGCCCGGTGCACAAAAATTTGTGCACTGGGGGGGGGGGGGGAGAGGAGGTCCCTCAGCCCAGCCTGTGCCCTCTCGCAGTCTGGGACCCCTAGGGAGATAACGCCCTGCTGGCTTAGGCCTGCTCCCGGGTGGCAGAGGGCAGGCCTAATCCCTAGGTGCAGCCCCTGGTCGGGCTCAGAGCAGGGCTGATTGGGGAGTTGGGGCGCAGCCCCCTGTCATGCACAGAGCAGGGCGGATCGGGTGGTTGCGATGCCACCCCTAGTCACGCTCAGGGTAGGGCCAATTAGGGGGTTGGGGCACCGCCCCCTGTCACACTCAAGGCAGGGTCGATTGGGAGGTTGCGGCGCCACCCCCTGTCACGCACAGAGCAGGGCTGATCAGGGGGTTGGGGCGCTGCCCCCTATCACACACAGAGCAGGGCCCATCAGGGGGGTTGGGGCTCCATACCCTGTCACACACAGAGCAGGGCCAATAGGGGAGTTGGGGCACCGCCCCCTTGCACACACAGCAGGGCGGATCAGGGGGTGGGGGTGCCACCACTGTCACACTCAGGGCAGGGCCGATGGGGGGGCGGGGTTGGAGCACCGTACCCTGTCACACACAGAGCCGCAGGGCGATCAGGGGGTTGGGGAGCTCCCCCCTATCACGCACAGAGCAGGGCTGATCAGTGGGTTGGGGCGCCTTCCCCTGTCAGGAACAGAGCAGGGCGGATAGGGAGGTTGTGGCTTCGCTTCCTGTCACACACAGAGCCGCAGGGCGATCAGGGGGTTGGGGAGCCCCCCCCCCCCCCGTCACACACAGAGCAGGGCCGATCAGGGGGTTGAGGAGCTCCCCCCTGTCAGGAACAGAGCAGGGCGGATAGGGAGGTTGTGGCCATGCCCCCTGTCACACACAGAGCCGCAGGGCGAACAGGGGTTTTGGTCGCTGCCCCCTGTCACGCTGATCCCAGTGCTGGGAGGCCTCGCGGCTCCGCTGATCCCGGTGCTGGGAGGCATATTACCCTTTTACTATATAGGATAGAAGCCTGGTGCACGGGTGGGGGCCAGCTGGTTTTCCCTGAAGGGTGTCCTGGATCAGGGTGGGGGTCCTGCTTGGGTGCCTGGCCAGCCTGGGTGAGGGGATGATGGCTATTTGCATCTGGTCACACCCCCTTCAGGGTGGGGGTCCCCACTGGGGTGCCTGGCTAGTCTGGGTGAGGGGCTGAGGGCCATTTTCAGGCTGGCAGGTGACTGAAGCTCCCAACCTGTCCTTTTTTCCTTTTTTTTTAAATTCTGGGCCAGCTTTAGCTCTGAGGCTCGGCTCCAGCTATGAGACCTCTGCTGCTGAAAGCAGGTATCTGGCCTTTGTTTACCCTTCTGTATTTGAAACAATGTTGCGGTCCTGCTGGCTGAAGCCCCGGGTTTTGTTTAGCTTCTATATTTGTTACAATGTTTCTTAAACTGCAAGCTCAGAGGCCGGCAAGGCAGGCAGGGAACGTTGGAGTCCTCCGTCACTGAAGCAAGCAAGCCTCATGTTCGCTTCCAGCTGCCTGGCTGCCGGCTGCCATCTTGGCTGGCAGTTAATTTGCATATCGCCCTGATTAGCCAATGGGAAGGGTAGTGGCTGTACGCTAATTACCATGTTTCTCTTTTATTAGATAGGATTCCAAAATATGGCAACGCCATCCTGAAATTTCTCCACATCCAACATGCTTCTGGGATATACTTTACTTGTCTAGTTTGAACTTGACCTCTTCAACATTAAGTCTTACACAGCTGTTAAAATCATTTTTAATGCTACTAGAACTAAACTCTATGAATCCATCCAAGTCTGCTTTAAAAAAGAAGAATCAAGTCCCGCTGGAGCGACGTAGCTGGTTGTGTTGTCCTGTGCACCCAAAGGTTGCCGTTCAATTCCCAGTAATATCGATGTTTCTCTCTCTTTCTCCCCACCCCTCTTTCTCCCATGTCCTCAGATGAAGATAAAAAAAGAAGACTCAATCTAAAATTTTTAAATAAATACATATTGCCTGGGCATGCACAGGTGCCACATGTTTGGCTGCTGGGGCAATACGATCTCCTAATTCACCCTCTGATCTCTCCTTGTTACCTTCTCTCAGTTTCCTCCCCTTTACACTGGCTGTAACTGTAGGAGTTCATCAAAGTTCTACACTGAGTCTGCTCACCTTCTCTCTCTCCTTTACAATCTCATATGCCTCTCAAGGATTCAATCAGTTACGGACAACTCCCAAATCCATGCTACCAGCTGCTAACTTCTATTCTGAGCTCCGAGCCCAGCCTTTATCATCTACACATTTCTACCTGGATGGCCCTTTGCCATTCATTCGGGCACCACAGACTCATCCAACAAACACTTCTTAAAAAGGAGACCAGCAGTAAACCAAGTACCTGCTCTCATGGATCCGACCTCTGGGCTGCGTTTTCAACCCCCCTGTTCTTCCCTCTTTCAATTGATGTACATATAGCACTGCACATCTTATTCTTCCTTTTCTTCTCACCTGCCTTCACGGGTTCCCATTCATACAAAATGAGACCTTGATTCCTTGTCCAATACGTAAGGGCTCCATGATCTAGTTCCAAAGGGTCCATGATCACAGTCCCCATACCACCCAGTAGAGCCCCCAAAACACATTCTCTGTTCCACATACAGGCCTCTCACACTTATTTGCCCTCCCCTCACTTTCTTTCATTTGCCTAAGCCTTTATTTCCCAATCCCTACTTACTCATTGCTTATCCTACTCATTCTTGAAAGACCAACTCAACTATCACCTTCATGAATATCTTCCTGGTATGAACCCTTAACATTTTACATTGAAACTGCACTGACTGTGTAACTTTGCTTATTTTCTATGATAAATTTATAAATTTCTTTTAGGCTATGAGCATGAGGAACTGAGCCTAGCTTTTTAATTTTATACACATATATATTTTTAAAATATATTTTTATTGATTTCAAAGAGGAAGGGAGAGAGAGATAGAAACATCGCTGAGAGAGAATCATGGATAGGCTGCCTCCTGCACACTCCCTACTGGGGATCGAGCCCACAACCTGGGCATGTGCCCTGACCAGGAATTGAGCTGCGACCTCCTGATTCATGAGTGGACACTCAACCACTGAACCACACTGGTCGGGCAATATTTATATATTTATAAATAACATTATAACAAAAATAACAACACAGTGGGAATTACACGCAATTTTTTCCCTTTTTAAAACTTTCCTTGTCTCTATATTTATCAAGTTTGAGAACCACGGTTACTGGGTGAAGGAACAGAGATATTCAAGATCACCAATGCTGTCAGATGGGATTCTCTCTGTTATGGACATAAAATCAACAATGGACACATGAATAGGTTCTGTGACATCTGTGTTCTACTTACTACAAATCTCATTTAGCGGCTGCGCATTGCTTTATCTTGCCAATGTTAAAAGGAAAGCTGGTGCAGTGATAACATTTTGCTTGTACCTCCTCACTGCAAATAAATAGAGCTGCTTAATTTTCATTATGTGCTTGCTTGACCTTCCGCTCCTTTCCATATAGACAGGCATCCTGGTGAGCTACACACTCCAACCACCGCTCTTCTCTTACAGCGCAAACATGTTATAAAATACTTCCCGGCAGCGGCCGGCCACCAGACAGGAGTCCTTTCCTTTCCGAGTCCCCTCACCACGCAGGGGGCCACGCTGCCCAGTGCTCACCACGGGGAGATGAGCAGAAATGACACTTCCCACTTCCTGTCCTGGCCTTGCCCACGAAGGCTGCCCACAGCCTCCTTGCTCTCTCCTCAGCCCAGGGCTGCACGTCGACTCCCAGGACGACCTGGGAACAAGCTGCCAACAGCTCGCTGCCAGCTGCTGGGTCCCTTACTGAATCCACAGGGGACAGACCGCCTGCCGTGCCGACCACACCCAGCTGTGCCGAGAGAGAGTCACTTGGGCTGGGACCCACGCCCAGGAGGTGCTGTAGTTTTCCTTTTTGGTTTCAGTAGTTAGACCACCTTACCTGAGACATCTGTGCATAACCTTCAGCACCAGCAACA